GCTAAATTATCTGTCATCTTTTGTATGGATTAATTAAAACTCATTTATGAATATGTTTCATTAATGTAATGATGGATTATATTATTCTAGAAAATTCCATCAAGATTTTATAGGAAATGTATGAGAATTAGAGAAAAGATTATTCTTTTTATCAGATATACAGACCTATGGCAAACTCTTACATTCAGGCAATCTGATCATAATACAGAGCTGACCATTTGTCTGCTAATGGCAGCTTACAAAAATCCAGTCTTATTTCCCAGGAAGAACCAAATTATTCTACATAACAAATGTTTATTATTTTCTTATTCTGTGCCAGCCATAAGTACTAGGCTCAGAATGTCCAAGCAAATTTCAACATGGACTCTCTAAATAGCCTACAGGAAGGGATGCACACAAATCATTACATGCGTGAGTGTAGTGGAAACGTCTACTAGACGAGGTGATTCCATTTATTATGGGTCAAGGAAATCAGTGGGAGCTCACAGAAGGGACATCTGGTTTCATTTTGAGGTATATAAATACAAATATTTAAGTCAGGCAAGAGGCTTTTCTTCTAGAGAGAACAATAGGTGTGAGGGTATAATGTCATATGGAAGGATGGAACTGAAAGGCAAGTGCTCGTTTACATAGGTAGTAAGTTAGAAAATCTAATCTCATAAAGAGGTATATGTACTAGAGACTAACTTGTTCTTACTGGTCATCTTATTCTCTGGCAAATAATCTTTAACTATATAACCTCAAGCTTTATAATGAAACTGATCCAAAGTTGACTTTGGTTAGTTATCTACATATAAGTTTCCCACTTCTATGTTCAGAAAATTGACAGTTAGGTGTTTATATAATCACTCTAGAGAAGAAGAGATCCAGATTTGTATTTGAGGAGTCTTAACCCAATAAAAAAAAAAATCATCCGGAAAAAAGCCTCCTTTTTCTTCTCTTTTTTCCTTATCCCCACCCCTCTCTTGTGGCCAATGAATTATTTTGCAAATGTCCTATAAATAGCTAATAGAGAGAAAGAAATCTAGGGAAACACACTAAAATTCCCATAAATAGATAATAAAAAGAAATAAGGAGAAACAGTGGTCTATCAGTTGTTAGCAGTACCAGGACAATTTATATCAGGTGGAGTGTAAAATATTGCCTGAGATTAGGTTGGATGGTGTCTGTGGATTTCAGTTACCCATGGTAAACTTTGCCTGTTTATATGGATAAAGAGTTAGTAGGAGAGTTACTTGTAATGTTGGTTTCTGTGTATTAGTTTCTAGCAATTATCAAAGTCTACATGGTATGAATGATGGATGAGGCTCAAGAGGATATTTAAAAACCATGTCAAGCAGACATAGACACACTGTGAGATCTAAGGGGGGAAATTCTTTTTTTTTTTTTTTTTT